TGACCTACCAGGGAGTAGGGCTTTCCACAGAGAGCCCCTCACTTCAAACAAGACATCAAGGACTGTGAGGCTGCCGAGCTTGTGGGTGGGAGGTTCCACCGATGTGCACCCTTGGTTAAAGCAGGCGCCCTTCCTGAATAAAGCAGGCTCAGCCTTGGGTCAAGTGTGACTATGTTTCTAAGAATGTCTAGAAGTGCTCTCAGGCCCAAAGAATCCAGCTACACATTTAGTAATCACTAAGAACGAAGTGTCGGCCACTGAGACAGCCAGCCACACTGTATACCAAAGCAGTAAAAATTATGCATAGTGATGCATATATAATTAGGAGTTTGCGTCTGAATGATGAATGTCCCTCAGGCAAGTAGAAAACATCGTTCCTTTATGTTAAAGTCAGCTCCAACGTACTTTCTGATAAACTAGAAACTGCAAGTGTACAACAGACCAAAATGACTTGATTACAAGTATCTCCGGCACTTGAATTTCAAGTCATCCAGTTGCTGGTACAGCAATTTTCTTGGAAATAAAACAAGTGGCTTCCCAACAGCATTGGATAAGAGAAGATTAAGATAAGATCTTAACATCCAGCATAGGCCAAGACTCGATCCAAAGCAAAGTCAGTGATGGGGCAGAATAGCAAGACATCCCAAAACTGAGTGGTTTAAATCAACCATCGTTTGTGATTTCTCACGAGTTAGCAGGCAGGGTAGTGGGTGTGGGGTTCTGCTGATGAGGCCAGGCTCAGGTGGGTCGGGCCGGTCACCCTTCTGTGGGCAGCCTGCACCCAGCTGGTCTGGGATGGTTGTGCTCCATGGGGCCTCACATCCTCCAGCAGGCTAGCCTGGGCATATATTCATGGTAGAAGCAAGGCTCTAAGAGAGACTGCTGAAAGGTATAGATAGCACTTTTCAAGCCCTTGATTGCATCAAGTCAGCCTCTGTCCCAACGGCCAAAGCCAGTTACAAGGTCAAGGCCAGTGTCAGCGTGGGAGGGCTTCACAGAAGAAGGGGTGAAATTTGGGATCATTCAACCCACGTACCACTCACATTAGGTATTTTTTCAGACTTTGTTGCCAAAACAGTGATTGTCAAGTTTTCCGTGCTCTGAAAAACCTATTACGCCCTGGGCCAGTGAGGGTCGGTCGTGGCGCTAGTGAAAACTGGCTTGAGCTGAGTCGAGTCGTGCTCCACCCACTCCCCCGAGCTATTCCGCCTGCAGTGTTTCCTCAGCTGCCAAACCCACCAAGGAAGGAAAAATCCAGACACTAATGCATGGGACCCAGCTGCCGAAATGAATCCCATGCACTTACTGCCCGAGTCCAAAGCGCATGTCTCTTGTTTGGACAAGAATCAAAAATCTGCTTTCCAATCAAGCTGATCTTCTGATAGGAAAGAATTCTCCAAGATAGTCTACCCAGCAGATTGAGACACTTTTAGCCCAGACATTAAAGCATTAGGAGCATGTGCCAGTTTACCCAGATGGGGCAGCAATAAATTACTGCCCAGGCCAGGCAAGGAAAAAGAGTGCTGACAAGCATCGGAGAAGACATTTGCAGAACTAGGACCAGGGAAGCTGTTTGAGGACACTCTCCTGGAATAACTTCCTCCAGCAGGAGGGAGGAAAGAAAGTTGGGTGGCTCAAGAAGATCTGAAGGGCCTTGGAAAACATCTGGCTGAGGAAGGAGTCACTGAGACTGGCTGAGAGACTCGAGGGGAGGACCAGGAAGAAGTTGGAAAGGGGCTCAGAACTGAAGCGAACGGGGAGCAAAGACAAAACTAAGATGAAAGAGGCAAGATGCGCACTTAGGAAGGCAGGGAAAGGCCGAACGATGTAGGCACAGCCTTGGCAATGGTACGCTGGAGGCAAGCAGAGGGTGGCTGGAGATGAGAAGAGGGACAGAGACTGACCCCCTCCCCCACCACGTACCTTGCCAGCTCCCTCCTCCCACCTCCCCCGTTTACTAAATCATCTCTCTCGCCTTGTATGCTTCAGGCACTTAACAGCATCATTTGTCACAACATCACAGGGAGGTTGGTACCACTCTCTCCATTTCACGGAAGGAAAGTGAAGCATAACGAGGTCAAGTGAACTTGCCCAAGGTCACTAAGGTATAAAATAATGAAAATAGGATTTTACAATAGGTGGTTGTTTTTTAACTCAAAACACGCACTTTTAGCCCATTTTAGTTTCCTAGAACTACCGTCACGAGGTACTACAAACTGGGTAGCTGAAAAACAACAGAAAGGTCCTGTCTCCCAGTTTGGGAGGCTAGAAGTCTAAGATCATCAGGGATGGTTCCTTCTGAAGACCATGAGGAGGATCTATTCCAAGGCTCCCTCTCCTTGGCTCACACATGGCCACCTTCTCCCTGTGTCTCTTTGTACTCCCTTCCCTCTCTGCTTGTCTCAGCGCCCAAATCTCCCCTCTTTAGAAGGACACCAGTCATCCTGGATTACCAACCCTAGAGACCTCATCTTAACTAATTACATCTGCAATGATCCTGTGTGCCAAATGAGGTCATATTCTGAGGTCCGGGGTGGGGGGCAGTTAGGACTTCAACAAATGAATTTTGTAAAAGGCAGGGTAGGGGGCACAACTCAACTCATAGCTCCTACAGGCCCCCAGAGGCAGGACAGTAGAGCAGAAAGAACATCTGACTAGCTTATTGAACCTGAACAAAGCTCTTCGTTCGTGAAAGCTTCCATTAAAATGGGATCACTCCCCCGGCTCAGTCAGTCCCAGTGAGGAAAGAATGAGGCGAATGCCCACCATGGGCACAGACGCTCCACTGCCCTCCCCACCCGTACCCCCAGCTGCAGATGTGTCTGCGCAGGTTACAGCTCCCATAGGCCATTTGGCTCTGTTCTCACCTGGCATCTCTTTTACAAGCACAGAGACACCCCAGGGCCAGCCCTTGGTGACACCATCACATGCCAGGGCCCTGAGCATCCTCTCTTGCCCAGAGGGCCCCACCCCCACCCATCGTGCCTCTGGGAGAACAGAGGCTGAGACCTGGTCTAAACCAAGGGGGGCCCTGAGCAACATGCTCAGGGGATCAGCCGCCCCCATGCAGCAAAAACACAGGAAAAATACCCCTTCCCCACTGCTCCACTTCTCACCTGGAGAAATGAAGTTCTGCCAGTGGAAGAGAACAGCTCCTGACCCCATCACAAAGCAGCCTCTGGGCCTGGACCAAAGGGAAGCCCCCCGGCCAGGGGCCTTGGCCGGCCCGGCCACACCGATCCTATAGGCAGAGGAAGACACCCCTCCGCCGGCTCCCCTCTGGCGCCACCCTGTTCTTGGAACCACCACAGGAGGGGTCTGCAGCGGGGGACGGGGGTTGGGGGAGCCCTCGCAGCCAGCCCTGTCTGAGGCTTCATTCCCACCCCCCTGTCATCCTACAGCACCCAGATGTCCCTGATGACAGAAATACAGGTGAACCACAGTAGCAACAGCACAGGGAACAGCACTGCCCACTAACTGAGCACGTACCAAGTACAGGGCACGCTACTTACATTCAGTCACTTCGACCCCAAACCTCCAAGTACTGTTGTCTTCTTAGGAGGCAGTGGCAGAATCATAGTCAACTTAATTTGTCCAAAACCACACGAGTAGCCAGACTTAGCAGAAACCTCCATGGCCACGTGAGTGGTGACAAACACACTTTGGCAGCAGACAACAGTTTGGGGGCAACAGCAGGTGGGGGGCACCTGTGAATGACGGAATCTTCCTCAGGCAGGTAAAGGAACCAAGTCCCAGAATCCCCCATTCTGGGATACACACTGTGGATACACACCAGTTCAGAACACTGCCTGGACTCACTCCCAGCGCTCACCTGGCCCCACTCCCTGTAACTGCCCACAGGCTTGCATTTTCCCAGAGAAATGGGAAAGTCTGTCACAAGCCAAGTCTCTCACCGGCCAAGTCTCCCCTCTACGTCCCTAAGCAGCGGGCACGGGCTGGAAGTATAACTCAGAGGACACTGGGGATTCTGCCACACCCTCACCTCCTAGCCGGGTCCAGCCCTCGGCTCAGGGCTGGTCACTGTCCTGAGGCCCTGGGCCCCTCAGCGGTGCCAGTGCTCTCCACCGGGCCCCAGTTCAGTACTTTAATTACACTGCACGGAGACTGTCCTTACCGCTATGTAGAACAAGGATACTTTTCAACAGGCCTATTTCCCTGTGCACACCTGACCCCAAACTTGACACCTCACATGGTCCAGGGAGGCAGCTTCCAATCTGATCACCAGTGCTCTCGAATCATCTCACCTGGGGAAGAGGAGACAGACATATCCTTTGTGATAATCTTAGGGGAGAACTCCGATGGGCCGAGGAGACTCCCATAGGGAAGAGAGACGTGCCAGACCCCAGAGCAGACCCGGCTTCAGAATCCTGAGGCCCCTAAAAACAAGCTCCACGTTGCAGGGACTCCAGACTGGGGACAGAGAAGTCCTCTACTTCCAGGAGAGGCTGCGACTATGCCTGCGACTCGGAGGCTGGAAGACAGGGGAAGCAGCATCAGGGCGGGGCCCAGGCATGGCAGGGGCTCCTCCAGGAAGAGTCCGAATGCCTGACCTGCTCCCTGCAGCCCGGCTCTACCTGGATGGAGAGATTAGCGCTGAGGCCTGGAAAACAGAGGGAGTGAGGGTGGGGTGAGGACACAGTGACATACTGAGGCTGGCAGGGAGGGCTGGCCTCCACAGCCCACACCCAAACCCCTAGGGGGCAGCGCCACGGCCCCATCCTGGTCAGGACTCACGCAGGTCATGGGGAAACGTCCGTCCAGGCGGCTAGAGGGGTGTCTGCCGGGATTTCACACACCAGAGAGGCCGCTGACTCCAGAAACACACTCTGCTCCGAATAAGCAAGGCTCCTCATTCATCGGTTCTACCTGTGAGCATGGACCAACCTCAGAGGAAAGTGAGTTTCCATCGGGGGCTGCCAAACCATGACATGGTACAGAGGGAGGGAATCCACAATCTCTTCCCCGCGGTAGGACACAGATCCAAGAGTAAATTCTGTTTTATTTCATGTACAGACAACTTGGGGCAGAAAGGGGGTGTCTGGAAGCACACAGGTGAGCAGCACGGAGAAGCCTGCTGTGAATCCGCCGGTGCCTGAAGTTCAGTGAGCATGGGGTCCCCAGAGCAGCCATCCGGGGAGGAGTGTCTGGGTTTAGATCAATGCATCGCCCGCCCGCCAGCAGCAGCCTCCAGAGCTGAGCGCGAGCACGAGCGCATCCAGCCAGCACAGCTCCCTTTCCCATCTGGCGGCAGGTGAGTGGGGAGGTGTCTGGGGGTGCGGCCACCGGTGGGAGAGGTGGGCCGGCAGAAGGCTGTCCTCCCTCTCTCGCTCTCCAAACCAGATAATTAAAAACCACAAGTCCCAAGGCTTGACAAATGAAAAGTCTGTCCTGTTAATCCTGACACTCTTCTCCGCCGCACAGACCTGCAAGATTCTGTGCAGGGCATCTCCCTCCCCCCACCTCGAGCAGTGTCCCCCCCCACCCCCGGCCCTGGAGTGGCCATCTGTGATCTGTCATTCCTGCGTGTCCAGGCGGCTGTGGGTTCCGCCCAGGAGGAAGACGGCAGCTTGCTGCCCCCAGGCAGGTCCTTGGGGGCCAGGGTCTGCGCGGGGGGGCCCCCACGGGCCCAGCGCTACAGCAGCTTGACGTAGTTCTGTGGAATCAGCCCCCTCTTGCCATTCAAAGTCCCTTCCAGCCAGCCAGGTTCCCTTGACGTTTGCACTGAAAAGGAAGAGAAATCCCTTTTTACCAACATGCCCCCAGAGTACTTGCTTCCTGTGAGTTCACTATATGGCTCGGCACCTTAAAGTTTCAACCAATACCAAACAGGGGCCATTTCTGGGATGTCTGGGTACAAATCTTCCCAAGAGTTATTTATAGGTGCCCCCTGGCCATCACAGCCTCCTAACTGGTCCCCCAGCTTCCAGTC